TCTGGAACAGTTGATTCTGAAATATGGAATGCATCAGAATACACTTCGTATCAAAGAGATTCATGGTGAGTTAAAATTTAAAAGAACTCTAATTTATATTAACCTATTTATCTTTACTGATAACATCTGGATTAGTACTATCCAAAAAACCTTTGTTAGGAAGAAAACAATCTTAGTTTTCTATCTGTACTCTCTAATATAGAAGTTACTAGCTACATGAGTATTTGAAAGATGGCTGGTGCAACTGAGGAGCTGAGTTTGAAATTTTCTTCTATTTTAATTTAAAATTACATTAAATTTATGTTTTGGGGATGTAGAAAATCAATTTTATTCCACATTATTTTAATCAGAGCATTTTAATTGTAGTATTTGGGTTCATTTTGACAAAATCGTACATACAGGAAATATGATTTCAATCCCCATTCCCCTTATTTCCTCCTCTTCTCCCTCCCCCTTTTCTCCTTTCTTTACTGATCTTCCTTTTCATTTGTTTGTTTGTTTATTTATTTATTTTTGGTACTGGGGATTAAACTTCGGGGGTGCTTTCCCACTGACCCACATCCCAAACCCTTGTTTATTTATTTTTGATTGTTACTTTCTACATATACATAAAGATGAAATTCCTTTGAGTACATTTTTATATGTATGTAACATGGTTTTGTTAAATTCATTTCCATTTCCTTTCTCCTTCTGTCTCTCCTTCTCTCCCCCACCCCCTTTTTCTCCTACTGATTTTCCCTAAATCCTTATATCGGATTCCCTCCCCTCCGCCTTCTTTCCCTTATTTTGTTCTAGCTTCCACATATAAGAGAAAACATTCAACTCTTAATTTTCTGAGTCTGGCTTATTAAATTTACATTTTAATATAAGTTTATATTTAATTTACATGTGGCTAGTGGCTACTGTGTTGGATATCACATATCTAGAAGCATGATTGTTTTTCCTTGATGTTCTCCTTCTGTCCCAGTTCAAGACATTTATTAAGCATTTGAATTGTGATAGATGCCATTCAGGTTTCTTAGGACATAAAGATGAATGAATATTTATTTCTGCCCTCGGTAGGCTGCTTAACTTGGCCACTAGAAGAGTAAACCAGTAATATACATTAATGTAGTATAGAGGGTGATAGAAAATTATATTATTAAAATGTAAATTTAATAAGCCAGACTCATAGTCTAAATTTGTGAAATGTGGCTTAGTGAATACTTATTATGGATAAGGTACCTTATTGGCTAGTCATCAGACAAAAATAATAACTTTTTCTATGTAACTTTTTTCTGGTAATTCTTTGGGGGATAGAGAGACTCAAATAGTCTGATGAAGGATGCAAAACCCTGTTATAGTTTATTGCCATGGTAGACATATCCTCACACAGAATTTTTAGTGGCAAAAGAATTGTATACATTTTCTAATTACTTTCTTTTTTGCGGGGGTGGGGGGTACTGGGGATTGAACTCATGGATACTTGCTTGGCCTCTGAGCCACATCCCCAGCCCTATTTTGTATTTTTATTTAGAGACAGGGTCTCATTGAGTTGCTTACTTGCTTAATACCTTGCTTTTGCTGAGCCTGGCTTTGAACTCACAATCCTCATTTTTCAGCCTACAAAGCTGCTGGAACTACAGGCATGTGCCACTATGCCTGGCTATTTTATTCATTTTTAAATTGTGTTATTTATCTTCTTATTGAATTCTAAGTTCTTTAATATATTCTACATATAGGTGAAAGTTCCTTAACAGGTATATAATTTGTAAATACTTCCTGTGGGTTATCTTTTCACATTCTTTAGAGTAAACTTTAAAGCACAGAAGTTTTTAGTTTTGACATAGTCCAGTTTATTATTTTGTTACTTGATATTTTGATGTTATATATCTAAGAAAAATTTTGTTCAACCAATATCATGAAGATTGATTCCCATATTTTCCCCCAAATTTCATAGTTTTAGGTTATATTTATGTCTGATCAATTTTTTCGTTATTATTTATTCTAATTTGTTATACATCATGGCAGAATGCAGCTCACATATTACACATAGAGCACAGTTTTTCAAGTCACTGGTTGTGTGTGAAGTATTTTCACATCATTCCTGTTTCATACATGTACTGAGGGTAATGATGTCTAACTCATTCTACCATCATTCCTACCCCCTTGCTCTTCCCTTCTCCTCCCTCTTTTCCCTTTCTAAAGTTCCTCCATTCCTCTCTTGTCCCCTCCACCCCCTGTTATTACTTTCAAAACAAAAAGTGCCATAGGTTTAATAACCCTTCTTTTATAATCTAGAGAATATTTTTTTCTGTTTATTCTTGGTTTGATTTAAATAATCTTTGGCTTGTTTCTTTATTTATAGTGTTATCTATAAAATAGCACTCAAAAAATTCCAGCATGGAAGTATATATAAAGGACCTCCACTTCATCTTTATCTACCTGTCATCCCTATATATAGCATTACTCCTTAAAATAAGATATGCTTTGTTTATAAATTGTGATAGCAATGGTTTTCCCTCAAGTGAGATCATTCTGTAATGTTCTATGACTTGCTGTCCTATTTAAGATATTTGGAAACTTCCCACAACTTTGCCTATAGTTCTGTTTCATTACTATGTGGTATTCCTTAATCAGTGTGTATTTTAATTTAATTATTTCTTCATTAATGGACTTACAAGTTAGTCCGTTATTTGCTGCTACAAGCAGACTGTAATATCCTTATATGTTTATCTTTGTACATATGTAGTGGGTTTCTTTGGGATTGACTTAAAGAATTAGAATTATTGGACAATATGCAAATGTTAAATTTTATATACACTAATAGATTGTCTTCCAAATTAATACCTTTTTTTTTGGTACCAGGTACTTTTTTTTTGAACCCAGAGGCACTTACACTGAGCCATATCCCCAGCCCTTTTTATTTTGAGACAGGGTCTCACTAAGCTGCCTAGGGCCTTGCTAAGTTGTTGAGGCTGGTTTTGAACTTGTGATCCTCCTGCCTCCTGAGTTGCTGGGATTAGTTGTGTGCTGCACCTGGCTCATTTTCTTAATGGTGTCCTTTGAATTGTGGAAGTTTTGAATCTTGATGAAGTCCAATTTATCAAGTTTTTTTCTGTTATACTTTTGGTGTTGTGCTTAAGAACTGTTTGTCTAATTAAGTTCACAGAAATGTTCTCCTATATTTTCTTTCATTAATTTTAGCTCTTATGTTTAGGCCTTTCCTCTTTTGAGTTCATTTTTGTGCAGGATGTGAAATAAGTGTGTAAATTTGTCTTTTTATGTAGATGTCTTTGTCCCAATTAAAAGACTATCCTTTCCTTTGTCAGAGATCTATTAACTAAATAGATCTCTGGTTTGTTTCTGGGATATTATTTGCTCCATTGATTTATATATCTGTCCTTATGCCAATACCACACTGTCTTGATTACTTAGTGTGAGTCCTATGAATTTGTTCATTTTCTTCAATCTTGTTTTAGCAATTATGGATAATTTTATTTTCCTATTTTGTTATTTACAAGAATGTCTCTTAATATTTCTTATTGGGTTTGCTTTTAGCTTTCTCTTTGCTGATAGTTTTTAATGTTATTGCATTATTAACAGATTAATATGATTTTAGCTGTCTGGGATTTATTGAAGCTTTTTTAAAAAAATGTACTTTCTTTTTTGCTTCTCAAGTCTCAGGATTCTGGTTATCTTCTTGGTAGCTTTTGTTATATAAATATTTGTTAAATTTGTTACATAAAATAATTCTCTCTCCTTTTTTTTTTTTTTTTTGTTCTAGGGATTGAAAACAAGGTCTTACAAAAGTTAGGAAAGCACTGTACCACTGAGTTACATCCCCAACATTTTTTCTTTTCTTTTTGGTTACTGGGGTTGAACTCAGAGGTGCTTTACCACTGAGCTACATTCCCAGCCATTTTTATTTAATATTTTGAGACAGAGTCTTGCTAAGTTGCTTTAGGGCTTTGGTAAATTGCTGAGGCTGTCCTCAAACTTTGCAACCCTCCTGCCTCTGCCCTGCAAATCACTGGGATTTCCCAGTGTATGCCACTATACTCAGCTTTTTCTTATTTTTTAATTTTTGGATAGGGTCTCATTAAGTTGCTCAGGCTGGCTTCAGACTTGCTGTCCTCCTGCCTTAGCTTCCCAAGTGTCTGGGATTAATTGCATGCACTATCACACTGAGCTACTCTTTGTCCCTGCCCCCACAACCATCCTTTTTTCCCCCTAGAATTAAAATTATCCATCTTGTTTTCATTTGTCTCTCCTTTTGCCAAATAAATTTTAAGTGACATTCCTAATATTTTATATATTTTGATTTTGTGTATTATGGATTTGTGATAATAGTCACATTAACAGGAAAATCTGTTTTGCAGAAATATTTTCATAAAGCTTTTTTTTTTTTAAAGATGGTCTGGATTTCTATTATTCCTCAAAACAACATGCTCAGAAGATGGTAGAATTTCTTCAGTGTACAGTTCCCTGTAGGTATGTTGTGAATCTAAATGTGACGTAAGTTCAAGGACCTGGAAATGGGTATAGGTTAAATATATTCGTTAAGAGATACATTTGCTAATGTGTATGTAAGAATTTCCTTTGGAGAGTTAGACCTAACTCTGTAGTGCTGAACCATTGATCAACTGTATTTAAATGAAAAGAGAAAGGAAAGATGGGTTAAGAGGGCTTTTAGTAAAGATTCATAGAGGAGGTAGTAATTACTCTCCAAAGATGGGGAAAATTTTCATAGTTGGAATTTATATCAAAAGGTGAGTTTACGATGAACAAAGACATGGTGATGGGCATTAGCATGGATTTTAACAGAGGCTATATAGAGTAGATGATCTGAGCCATTGACATGTTGTGGAGGTTTTAAGTAGAGAAGGTTGAAAGTCATCAGTATATAGTCATAGGTTTTGAAATACAAGTAGATGAAATTAGGCTTTACCATAGCAGGCATCAGGAAGCTATTTAAGAACTTAGACAGTGATAATTGATTCAATGAAATTTGATACTCCTGAGTCTATGTAAGTAAAGACCTTTGCCTATTAACTTTTTTTCTTAATAGATACAAAGCATCACAAAGACTGATCTCTCAGGATATTCATAGTAACACATATAATTACAAAAGCACTTTTTCTGTGGAAATTGTTCCAATATGCAAGGTACATTTTTTCATTTAATTGATATCTTTAAGAGTACAGTAATTAATTGGTTGATATGTGATTCATAGTTCCTGGTTTCCTTCAGAGGTGGTCAAATATTTAGACTTTCTTAAATGACTTCTGACACATTCAGCCTTGTTAAAAAAGATAAGGGTAATCATGCTTTTAATTATGAATTGACATGTCTTTCATTTTGGTGTATTAAGATGAAAGATCTGGTTGTGATTTTATAAGTTCCTATTCCTGAAAATTTGTGACCCTAGAGAATATATGGACAGCTCTATGAAACGTTGAATTAAAATAAATGACATTTTTAAACCAACAAGTGAGCCATTTTGTGGGACCTGTGCAAACAATTGGTAAGATAAATAATATTGTGGAAATGAGGTCACAGGATTATTTTTATTTGAAAAGATAATCTGAATAAAACATTTGGATTGTAGATTGTTATTTCATTTAGTTATAAGAAAATAAAACCTTCAAGAATATCAATGAATTAAAATTCAACAGTTATTGATCATCTTAGACTATATACTAAGGATAATGTAGCTAGAGGTTTCTACTATGTACGAACTTACATATCAGTATTAAATCATGTGTAATGGTTAACTGCTGTGATTTTTTTGTAACCGTTCTACATAAAGTTATTATTTAGATACTGTGGTATTTTTCATTTTATTCATGTCTATAAATGAAGTAAGCCCTATCATATTTGAAAATGAGGAAACAAGTGTGGTGAGCTTAGATGAGTTTCCCAAAATTTTATAACCACAAAATGATAAAACCAGGATTTATACCCAGGTCTGTGACTTTAAAACTTTTACCAGGAATGAAATGATATCCTAATATAGCATTGGCAGACTTTCTGTAAAGACCATTTAGTAAATATTTTCCATTTTTAGGATATATAATCTCTTGTTACTAGTCAGTTTTGCTGTTGTTGCATATCAGTATCCATGAATAACATGAAAGTGAATGGTCAGGGATATGTCCTAGCAAGGCTTTCCAAAAAACAAGCATGGGCCAAATTTATCCTGAGTGCCATTTTTTACTAACCCCTGGTTTAAAACTGAACCCAAAGCCAGGAAAATAGGAATTTAGTTAGGAAAACATAGTTACACCTGGGTATTAACTGCTTTGAGTGACTCATACAAGTATCTAGGGGAATGTGCAGTGTGAAGTACTGCTGTATTTTGTATCTATAGGGAATTGGTTCTGAATAAAACATTTGGGCCCCTGTAGTTCCTTATATAAAATGGTATAGTATTTGAATATAATCTATTCATATCCTCCTTTATACTTTAAAACCACTTCTAGATTACTTCTACCTAATATAATGTAAACACTGTGTGAACATTTGTCGTAGTGTATTGTTTAGGAAATGATGACAAGAAAAAAAGTACATACACGTTCATTACAAGAGCAGTTTTTTAAAAAATATTTTTGATTCTGCATTGTGTTGAATCTTCAGATGTGGAACATGTGATATGGAGGGCTAACTGTATCATTTCATTTCTTTTTTGGAAAACCAAGGTTTGAGAGGAACTTGTATGCGCATAGTGTTCCTTCAGTGGAGGAATCTATGGATGTGAATAGATCCTTTATACACACACACTCACTTTTTTGGTACCAGGGATTGGACTCAGGGGCACTCAACCTCTGGGCCACATCCTAGCCCTTTTTTGTGTATTATTTAGAGACAGGGTCTCACTGAGTTGCTTAATGCCTCACTAAGTTGCTGAAGCTGGGTTTGAACTCATAGTCGTCCAGATCTTCCTGTCTCAGCCTCCTGAGCCACTGGGATAATAGGCATGTGCCCTTGTTAAGTGTTAATGTTGTTTAAAAACATAATTATATTACTAGTTACTATAATATATCCCAGTATACATCTGGTTTGGAAGATAGAGCAATTAAATCTTTGATTAACATATTGGTACATGGTAACCATTTAAGACAAACATTGTTCCTTAGAAATTTTTATGGATGTTAAAAGAATTCACAAGTCGATTTAGAAAATTGTTCTGCTCCTGATGTTACACTTTACTTAGGAAGTACACTATAACTAACATTTAAAGTGGTAAGCAAACTGCAATAAAATTGAAGTAATCTTAACAGTTTGGAAGTTAGGTCCTAAAAGACTTTTTTTTTTTTAAGCATTTTAATTAAGGCAAACATGCCTGTCTTAAGATATAGCTTATTTTTAATTTAAGGTAAGGTTTGATTCTTTTATTTAGATCCCTTGTGGGTACAAGAGTGAAAACTAACATTTTGGTTGGGCAAGTACAGTTGGATTGAGTTTACATTAATGTGTTTTTGGTGACTTATTTAGAACTTATATCATTTAAAATGTTATTCTGTTGCCTAGGATAATGTTGTCTGTCTGTCTCCAAAACTGGCACAAAGTCTGGGAAATATGAACCAGTTCTGTGTATGTATTCGAGTAACTAGTGCCATCCATCTTATAGATCCAAACACCCTACAAGGTAAGTATAGAAACTAAATTTGCCTTGACAGTTTTGTCCTGCATGGTGGGCAATAATAATTTATATTATTAATTTTGTTCTCAATAATTTTATGTTGAAGAGCCAGTTAAAATTTGTACTGTTTAATATTTATGAAACACTGTGGAATTATAAACTATTTTACCAGTTACCCTTGTATTTTTTATTTAAGGAAATGATTCTAAGAGTTTTAATAGATTTCCTATTGCATGTCATGAATTTTTACTAAAATTGACTTATTTGCCTCATTTAGTTTTTGTGACTATTACTACTACTACTAATAAATAATAATAATAACTTTATTGCTATATTTCAGTATATGACAAGTATTTTAAATTTTGGAACATGTGACCTTTTGTGACCTGTTGGAACATTTAGTTTGCATATGGAGTTTTAATAATTTACTAACATTATCATAGATCATTTATTTACTTTCTCTTTGTAAAAAAAAAAACAAACATATTTTTTAAAAAGGCCTCATGGTAGGTGTCTCAGTATTTGACTGTATCTCGTACTTAATTTTTTTTCATAAGTTTCCTGTAATAAAACTTGAGTATATTTTGATATGTACTTAAAGTCATTCATATCCTTATCAATTACAGTTCATCAGTTAAAGATCTGTAGTACTAGAGTAGACATTGTTTATCTGTCAGTAGAACTAGACCTTAGTTCCCATAAACTAAGCAACTAAAATGTTGATGTGTTTCTAAAATAAAATGCCAGCACATGAAACAAGTATACAACTGGTTGAATCTGATTTTATTTAAAAGCCATTTAGCCCTTTAGCATTCTGATTTAAAAACTACTTACGCTGTGTTTGACACCTGTTAGTTCTTTATGAGTTTGAGACTGAGTTGGCATTGTCGTTCCTGTTTATCAGTTAGTATATACTATCTCCTCCCTAGTTAACAAATTTAATGACTCTTTGAAATACATCAGTTCTTTGTCTTTTAGTTTTCTGTGTTTATTTTTAGTTGCAGATATTGACGGGAGCACTTTCTGGAGTCATCCTTTCAATAGTTTATGCCATCCCAAACAGCTGGAGGAGTTTATTGTGATGGAATGCAGCATTGTTCGAGATGTAAAATGCAATGCAGGTGCTGGAATGATATCAAAAAAGGTAAGCTATATCCTACCCCACCTCCTTTTTTTTTTTTTCCATCTTACTTTTGTTTCAGTTCTTCTTTCTTTTATCTTTTTTAACTTATTTATAATTCCAAAATGTGGAGTCCAAATAAAAGTAGCACCACATTAGGTTAAAGTGCATTTTTATAATTTTTCTCTTTTGTGTTGAAAAAAAAAGTTTTAAAATATTTATTCCATTTTTATAAGAAAGCATTTTCTTTATTTTTGTAGAGGAGGATCAAAAGACTAACCTTTTTGACTTTTCAAAATCATTACTGAATACCAATAGTTAAATAGTTTCTATCTTGAAAATATAGGAATATTTTCTTACACAATCAGTGTATCATGATCATACCTATAATTGTTTAGTCTATGTGCAGATTTCATTATATTCCCCAAAGTATCTTTTATGGTTTACTTAAACTAGTATCCAATTTGGGACCACAAATTATGTGAATATTATAATAAAATAGTCTTCTTTCCCCCAACCCCCATTTTTTGTTGTTGTTTCTTGTGGTCATAATACTGACTTGTTTATACAATACAACATTTATTTTGTAGAGTACTCTGTCCTTCTCAGTCTTTCTTTTTTCTCATGGTGTCATTTAACTTGCTCTTAATCTCTTGTATTTCCTCTAACCTGAAAACTGGATATAAAGAATTGGCCGAGGGGCTGGGGTTGTGGCTCAGTGGTAGTATGCTTGCCTTGGATGCGTGGGGTGCTGGGTTCAATCCTTAGCACCACATAAATAAATAAAATAATAAAATAAAGGCATTATGTCCATCTACAACTAAAAAAAAAAATTAAAAAAAAGAATTGGCTGAGTTTAGGTTAAATATTTTTGCCAGACTCTTTGAAAGGTGATGCTGTATACTTTTTATGGTATTATATTGAGACAAGTCATGTCTGTTTTATTGGCTAAAATGGTGATAGCAGATCCCTTCATTATAGTAGGATGTTTTTCCCCCTTGTAACCAGCAAGTATTCTGTTGAATGGTACTCTCACAATATGTACATATCAAGTTCTTATTATCTGTGTGTGAGTGTGTGTGTGTTTAGTATTTAGCATTTTTGCCAAAATTAATTATTTTATTTAGTATACAGTGGTGACCTTTCTATTATTTCTTCTACATTTATTAGCCAACATTCTTTATTTCTTTCTTTATTTATTTTTAGAGAGAGAGAGAGAATTTTTTTTTAATATTTATTTTTAGTTTCGGCGGACACAACATCTTTGTTTGTATGTGGTGCTGAGGATCGAACCCGGGCTGCACGCATGCCAGGCCAGCGCCCTACCGTTTGAGCCACATCTCCAGCCCCAACATTCTTTATTAAGGAAGAGCTCTCCATTATCTCAAGGCTATATGGTTTTCTGAAATGTTTTTCTTCTGCACTAATTCTTAATTCTTTCTCTTGACATTTTCAGAATAAGGAGATAGTCTAGTTCTCTTTCAGTGGTGAAAATATGTTTAACTTATTTCTTTATTTGAAAGTGTCTCTTTCTCTGGGCTGAGGATGTGGCTCAAGCGGTAGCGCGCTCACCTGAAAGTGTCTCTTTCTCTATGATTATCATGATCTTATGAAGTTATATGTATTTACTATATTTTTTTCTCCTCCATCCCTCACAGGTCTATTTTTTCTTTTAAAATATTTAGATTGCCCTAAATTTAGGCAGTGAGAGCCCCTTCAGAATGGTTCCTATGTTTTTTTGAGATGGCTTTCTTAGTCTGAATGCGTTGCTTTCTGTGAAAGCACAAAACAGCATCCAGGTGTTCTAAAATCACATTGTATGATACTTAACCCATATCTGAAATAAGTTTTTCAAGGATAAAAGTCAGATTTCTTTTAGTGTGTATATAGTATTTAGATACCTCTAATCTGGATTCTTTTTTTGCAGGGGTGGGGAGGGGGTACCAGGGATTGAACTCAAGGGCACTCGATGATCGAGCCACATCCCTAGCCCTGTTTTATATTTTATTTAGAGACAGGGTCTCACTGAATTGCTTAGTGCCTTGCTTTTGCTGAGGCTGGCTTTGAATTTGCTATCCTCCTGCCTCAGCCTCCCTGCCTCAGCCTCCCGAGCTGCTAGGGTGGCATACATGCGCTACCACACCCGGCTTCCAATCTGGTTTCCAAGGATGCTCACTTCCTTGGAGTTAATACTGCTTTTTGAGACAAAAATAATTTCTGATTATTTGGGGAAAAAAATCACTGAAAATAGAAGACAGAATACTTTCTATATATTTATTTAAAAAATAATATAGTTAAGAGCTAACTTTTCATCTATAATATAGAAAAACCAGATAGTAGAGCTAACTTTTCATCTATAATATAGAAAAACCAGATAGTATGTTTTCTTGATTTTCAAAAAATGCATTTAAGTAGAACAGTTCTTAAGTCTGTTATAATTAGGACCAATATAAGAACTAGAAAGTGAATCCTGTTAAATAGAACTTAGTCTTTCTGGTAATTCCCTTTTTTTGTCCGTTCTTTCCATACCTGAGACCTGTATTTTATTTCAGTTTCTTCCTTCTACAGCATCCTCTTTTCATCTCTTTAAGTTTCTTTAATTTTACTATTGACTTTTAGTTTTTTTTTTTGTTGTTGTTGTTAATAATCCACTTTACTTGTTAGTAAATGGTTGGCATGGACTATGTTTAATTCAGTCTTGAAGTTTAAAATGTCAGTTAAAAGTGCTTGTAAAATCTTACATTGGAAAGTGAAAGTGAATTAAAGTTTTCTACTTTAAACTTTCAAATTTAAGCAGGATGTTGTTTCTGCAACAAATAGTTTTTTAAAAATTATACTGTGAACTAGTGTAATATCCCAAAATTAATTTGAAGGTCTGGATTCTGTAGGGATACACTACTGGGATTTCATTCAAGATTGTTTTGTTTGAACACTGTTTTTCTTTTTGAAGCTTTGTGTTAAAGAAGTGTTTGCTTAGAATATTTTCTTGCTTTAAGATTTTCCTACCTTTATTTTATTTTCCCAGTCTGTATGCCCAATCTCCCTGTGAGAAACATTTCTTTCAAAAAGTCTTTATGTATTTTTCAGAGGAGATTGTTAATGTTTTATAAGAGCCTTAAACTTGTAACAAAAATCAATTATTCTTATAATTGCCTTCTGAGTCTTTTTTGATACTCATTATTCAGTAATTTATTAATTATTGACAGTGTTTCAGAGATCTGGAAAAAAAATCTTTAAAATGAAAACTAGAAAACTAAAAATCAATTTGGCATTTAATTTTTCTATGAGATACTTCTTGAGTTATGTTCAGATTATTGAAAAATACATTTTCTTTCCTGTTAAGCATACCCTTGGTGAAGTCTGGGTACAGAAAACATCTGAAATGAATACAGATAAGCAGTATTTTTGTCGTACTCATTTGGGACACCTTCTAAATCCTGGAGACCTGGTTTTGGGGTTTGTATTATTTTATAATATTTTAAACTGCCAATTAGCATTAGAGATTTTCTTTGGGAGCCAATAGAGCTACCTAAAACACTAAAGTTGCTCATTCCAAAAAAGATTTATTTTAAGAGTTTTTTTTTTTGAGTCTTAATAACTTATTTTTTTATATTTATCTAAATCAAACTGTGGAATTGAACAGAAGCTTGTTGTTGTTGTGTTTTGGCCATCATCTAAAAGAGTCATTTGTTCTAAGATTTTGGTAATTGACTCCTGAATGTATATAGTTCAATCCATATTTGCAGCTGTTTTGGGGAGTGGGTAGTTTTTTATTGTGCACATGCTCTCCTCAATATTTTACTTTTAAGAAATGGTAGCCAAATCTACAAAGTGTTTATAAAGACATGGAACAATCCTTTCTTAATCAAAGCTAATCAGTGTGCTTTAAAGATAGCTTTTACTCTGAGGGTTTCATTTCCTTTCACTGGAGAATGGGGGGTATTTTTATTTTGTTTTATTCATTTCTACCGAATCCTAAAGTTATATGGATATATATCTGTGTTTTGTCTTTAACAAAAAGCATATAGTAAGGTACACAATAATGGATAATATGTGAAAGTCAGGTATTTCTTTTCTGGAATGTGAAGAAGTGTGTTCACTGTATAGTAAATCGCAAAGCTTTAAAGTGAAAAACATTAAATGTTTGATTTCAGAGAAAGTTTTAAGTGATATCCCTAAAATAAAAAATTTTACATACAAAGGGAAATAGCAAGTTTTTCCTTGTTTGCATTTCAGGTTTGATTTGGCCAACTGTAACTTAAATGATGAGCATGTCAACAAAATGAACTCAGAGAGAGTTCCAGATGTGGTAAGGCTTTAGATATTTTTTTTCTTTTTTTTTCCTGCGTTAAAGAGGACTCTTGTAATTCTTCTGAAAGAGCTGCATGAGTTCACACTTTTGAAAATAACAAATCAACTTAGAGATTTCTTTTAAAGTATAGTTAAGGCATAATAGCAGAAATATTCATTTTAAATCATTTTTTTTAAGTGGGATAAATTCAAGATTTGATTTTTTTGTTGTTAACTATTTAAAATTTTATTCTCTGTCAAAATACTTAGTACTTATCTATAGAGCAAAAATAAGTTTGTAGCTAGAAATGATGATTTTTAGAATTTACTCATGTTTTCTCTTACCCAAGTTTAGCATATTTCATGTATATTGTCCAGGTAAGAAGACATTTAGAGTTAGAGTTCAGGTTTGATTTGGCCAACTGTAAAATGTAATTGCAGTTGAAAATAATCATATTATCAGGTCTCGGATAAAAACTATTGTGAAAGTCTGTTAAGTTCAAACATGATAAAGAATAATGAACAATAGTTAATGAAATTGGTATGAAAGATCCTATCTCCTAGTTGCTTACCTTTTGAAAAATAAACATTGATTTCTTTAGCTATGTCCAAAATAAAGTCATAGTAAAAGAAAGAAAAGAAAGATATTTCTATGTATTGCTTCCTACATCTACCACCATCACCCAGTTATATTTTAAGTAACTAATGAAATTAGTAAATAGAAGGGCGATTTGGATGTAACACAGTAGATATTTCTAACAAGGTCATAAGAGGAAATCATGAAGGTATTGTGTTTTATAAAATTATTTTCACCTATTAACTCCACAGCATTAATGTTTTCTAAGATATCCTGTTGTGTAAGTGGGAATGAAAGAAAGAAAAAGTGCCTATGATATTTCAAGACGATTCATATGAATCGTAGCTGAAAATTGAAGTTCAAGTTAAAAAAAAACTATAGATTTTTGGTGATAAAAATTTTATATTCAG